TGGTTTCATCCCAACCATACAAGGGTAGCTCAATATATGCAAATAAATGTAATGTAACATGTACAAATAGACTTGAGGACAGAAAGTTTTAAAGCATCTCCTGTAGAAAAGACCTTTGACAGGTTAACATCCTTCATGTAGCCTTGGAGAAGGCTACAGCCATCATTATAGTAAATGGCACAAAGCTGACATTTCTTTAAAATCAAAAATGAGACAAGGGTGCCACTCTCTCCTTGCCTGCTGAAAGTGCTTGAGGACTCGCTTAGAAGACCACCGGAAGAAAGAAATGGATACAAATAGGAAAAGATGGATGTCAAAGTACTATTATTTGTAGATGACATGATCCTGTACTTAACAAACCCACAGACCCTAAAGAATTAACCAGAAAGTTTCTTTTTCTTTTCTTTTTTCTTTTTTTTTTCTTGTATTTGTACTTTTACATTTTTTAAATTATATGGGTATGGGCATGGGTATGGGTATGGGCATGGGTATGAGCATAGGTATGGGCATGGGTATGAGCATAGGTATGGGTATGGGTGTAGATATGTGCCCATGAGGGCAGGTGGACCAGAGACATTGGATTCTTCTGGATCTGGAGTTCCAGGCAGACAAGAGCACTTGATGCTCTTGCAGAAAAGTGGGGCTTGGTTTCCAGGAACCACAAAGCAGCTCCCAATTTTACAGGTTCTGACAACCAGCCTCAAAGATACCAAATATAAACAAAAACATGCAGGCAAACACATAGAAAGTTTATTTTAAAAAGAGGTGTATGTTATTGTATTATATGTCAGCTACTATTGATATATATTCCTAGACAACTACACCCATACAGAAAATAAAAGATTTGTTTCTGATAAATTTAGCTATATTACCTGACATCACAGGTTTATGAATACTTAAGATTAACCTTTAAAAGGTGCTAATTATATTCTCTGTGAATAATGCAAGTGTCTGTATTTTGACATTGGTTTCACACGTACTTAAGCAACCTTCCACTAAGGGGGAATATCACTTAAGCTCACCTGCCAGCTGCATTTCCCTCATAAGCGCCAGAGTTCTAATTTTAAGTTAAGGGAGAGGAAGAGGGCATGTCCTTTTTAATTCATAATATGAGCCACAGGAAGTACTGTGACTTAAAATAAAATGCTCTGAGTAAATGATTTAATTCTGGATTCATGCTGCGGTGTGGGGTTAAAGGGGACAGCAGATGAATGCAGAGATGGCTCAGTGGTTAAGATCAGTGGCTGCTCTTCCAGAGGTCCAGGGTTCAATTCCCAGCAACCATATTTGCAGCTCATAACTATCTGTAACTCCAGTTCCAGAGGATCTGACACCCTCTTGGGGTCTCCATGGGTACTAGGCACACAAGTGGTACATGTACACACATCCAGGCAACACATCCATAGACATAAAATAAAACTGAAATTTAATAAAAAAGAAGGTTGGCCCAGGGGTTAAGCTTTTGCATAGCATGAACGAGACTCAGGGTTCAACCCCTAGTTCCATAAACAAGCAAATGAAAGCCACTACCCTTGTGTAACTAGAAATCTGCAGAGTAAGGAATTTCATTCAGCTGCAGGTGTTTCAGAATATTTAGATCACAGTTTTGTTTAGGGTGAGCATGTGTACACATATGGGGTCACATGCGCCTTGTTATCAGATTTTTAGTGTTCAAGGTCTTTCTAATTATTACACTTCCTGCTTTTACAGTTTTAAATTTTTGTAGTTATTTGTTTGTTCTGTACATGTCATGACGCATATGTGGCGGGTCCAGTATATAGGTTCTGGGGAACAAACTCAGGCTATCAAGCTTGGGGGGTAAGCACCTTTACGTCAACATAGCTTGTATAATTTTTAAAACTAGGAAGAATTCATTAAAGAACACAGCCAAGCACAACTGATTTCACATTGAATGTATCAGTGACACACCAATAACCTAAATATCTACCAGGTAGGAGCTAGCTAAATAAACTGGACGTGGCATATTAATGTGCTAAGTTACTAAGCAATTCCACCCAAGAGAGGAAAACTTATACACATATATGGATAGATAAGATTTGTCCAACAATGCAGAACAATGGTCATAATATGCTAATATTTGTACACATACACACACATACACACACACACACACACACACACACACACACGACTGAAAACACTGCATGGCTCTAGGAAGCACATTCAAGGTCTGAGTAAATAGAAATTGGAGGAATTTGCCTTGCCTGGGGGGGGGGACTTGAAATAGGGTTTCTCTGTCTAGTCCTGGCTATCCTGGAACTCACTCTGTAGACCAGGCTGGCCTTGAGTTCACAGATCTCCACCTGCCTCTGCCTCCCAAGGGCTGGAATTAAAGGCGTGCACCACCACCACATAGCTGGAAGAAGTTTTTGAACACTTCTCTGACATGTGTATGTACATCTGTGTGTGTGTTTCTGTGCATAAGTGTCTGAGTGTGTCTCTCTGTTTATATTGTCTGTGCGTGTGCATGTGTGTGTGTGTGTGAGAGAGAGAGAGAGAGAGAGAGAGAGAGAGAGAGAGAGAGAGAGAGAGAGAGAGAGAGAGAGGAGAGAGAGAATGTATAGGAGTTCACATACATGCGCAGACAGAGCACAACCATGGGTGTTAGTTCTCAGGTGATGGGGTTGTCCTTCTATATGCTATGAATATATGTTTCTATTGGTTGATGAATAAAGCTGTTTCAGCCAAGGGACAAGCAAGATGTAACCAGGCAGGAAGTACAGGTGGGACTACTAAACTAGGAGAAAGCTGGGAAGAGAAACACAAGAGAGTGAGTCAAGACAGAGATGCCATGTAGCTACCAGGAAGGTAGGATGTGTGGGCGTTCTCCAGTAAGATCAGACCATGTGAAACTACATAGATGATGTATTAATGGATTAATAATTAATAATTAAATGGGTTAAGAAGCCTGAGACATAGGCCAAATAGTTTACAATTAGTATTAGCCTGTGAGTTTATTTGGGACTGAAGGGTGGGAGGAGCAGGGCTGGACAGAAACTTCCGTATTTGTTCAGGCAACGCCAGCCTTTTCTTTGCAAATGGGTCTCTTGCTAGTCTAGAACCGGCCAAGTAGGCTGGACTGGTTGAAGGCCAAGTTCAGTATCTGCCTGGCTCATGTTCCCAGCACTGAGGTTGCAAGTGCAGGCCATAGCATCCAGCTTTGTCGCCTGGGTTCTAGGGATGCTGAGAAACCCCCAAAGCTCCAAGTGTTGGAATTTAAAGTATGCTCATGACAGCCATTTTTGTCCATTGTAACTGATTTCAAAGTTAAGGTCAAGAGTTGAGGATACACCACAGTAGCAGAGCAGATGTTCAGCATGCACAAAGTCCTGGGTTCATTCCCAGAAAGACACGCGCACACTCTCGAGCACGCACGCGTGTGAGCACACACACACACACACACACACACACACACACACGCACGCACGCACTCACTCATGCACGCACACACACAGTGAAAGGTAAATGGTGGAATTAGTCTGTCCTCTAGTTTCTCTACAACGCTGACACCCTCTCCTCACACACTTCAGTGATTTGGGGGTTGGGAAGCTTTGGTTTACGACTACAGGTAGAAGGACTAGGGCCGTCTTCCTTTAACGGTCAGCTGCTTTGGGGATGCGACGCATGTGCACAAGCTCTGGACCCGCGGGTCTAGCGTCCCTGGGAGCCTCGAGTCTCCTTAAATCCACACTCACTCCGGCAAAGCGCGGGAGGGGAAGGAGCCGGGGAGCGAGGCTTCCATTTTTATCCAGTTTATTCCTGAAGATGCAGGAAGAGATTCCGGTTACTCCCTAAATTAACTGCTGGGGGGTAAAGCATCACCAGATATCTACTGAGACGTGGGAAACATCGTCAGAGAACAGGAGCACCTTTCTATAAAGCCGTTAGCCCGCTCTTAGTTTCCCTCCTTCAGGAGGCCGGAGGGGAGTGGCGGAAAAAATACGAACCCCACCCATCTGCTCATCTTCGATGGTGTGTTCAAAAGCAAAGTCGGGGAGCAGAAGTACCCTCTGTTCTAAAAGCCACACTGAGAAGCTGTAAGGAGCATAGGTGAAGGAGCCGCCTGCAGGTCACACACTTAAGAGCCAGCTACCAAAACCAGAACAGCTGAGGTTCAAAACCCTGGCTCCCTGTTGTCTACAAGCTACATGACTCAGAAAGCTTCCTCGCCTATCCATCGGGGAGCCCTGCTGCTGTCTGGGACTGTGGGTTTAAATGAAGCCTAATCCCAGAACCCCGCCTGCTGGCAGGGCCCATATGCATAGTCTTCAAGCGCCTAATTACAAGAAGGCAGCAGATGTTTTGCTTGCCCTGCTGTCTGAATGAAGACAAGAGTTCCAGGTTTCTCAAAGAACCCAAGAAAAATAAAGAGAATGTCAGAACTCTGCTGGAGGCCCTGAGCACCAGTGTCACAAATTATACCGCAAAAACATGAAAAAGGGGAAGCAAGGGACCCAGAGAGAACCCAGAGAGGACCCAGAGAGAAAAAACCATTCCGCTGCACGACAAGGCAGGCACAGCTGTTTCGAGTCCCAAAGCCACTGGGCAGACTCTGTCAGGTGCCAAGGAAATTCCCTGGACAGGTCTCATGCAGTACTGTGGGTTCCCGCCCTGCCCCCCACCCTAACCCTCTCCAGCCTAGGGTCTAGCCTTCATTTCACTTCCCCGGCTTCTATTCTATTCTGTTCTGTTCTGTTCTATTCTATTCTACTCTCTCTCTCTCTCTCTCTCTCTCTCTCTGCCCCCCCCCCCCCGCTTGCCCTCTCTCTCCTCCTCTCTTTCTCTTCTATTCCTCTCTGACTCTCCCCCCTCCCTTTTCTCTCCTGGCCAAGTTCAGTCTGGACAATTCCAGAGGCCTCTGGCTGAGCTCACCCCCTCCCCCACAATAAAACCCTTTTCCTCAACCACACCTGGGATTGGTCATGTCTCTTTTTCATTCAGACTCCTCCTTCACCTAAGAGTCAAAGGTTGGGGCTTACCAAGATTGGGCTGGGACACCGCCATGGACCTTTGGGGTACCGATGCAGAGGTGACGGCCGGGTGGAGGTTCACATGACTCAGGGGCTGACTCATCGCCTTCCTGGGGTCTTGCCATGTGGTGATTTTTTCTATGTGACTGAAGGAAGGAAGACAATTAATTACTCGTTTGACCATCAGCATTGTCATGAACATCACCATAGGCATCAGGGACACTGGTTTCTTCCCCTTGGGTCAGCTTAAAAGTGGTGGACACATTGCTTTTGGTTTCACCCAAGGACTCTCTAGCCCATTTGGCCCTACATTCCGGTCCAGGCACAGCAAGGACTGAATATACACATTAACACCTCGGCTTCCTCACTCCCTCAATTCCTCACTCACAGATGCCACTGGGGGGCAGCCCTCCAAAAGCTGGCCCCCATACCCCCCCAAACCACATCACAGGCTTTACAGAACCTGCCCACCCCATCAAGTTCAGCCTTCAGTGAGTGGGCTCCAGTGTGTGGGTGTGGGGATGGGTGTGAGTGGGTGTGTGGGTGGGTATATTCTAAATATTCGCAAATTCATGCAGTACCCCTACTTTCTTTATAAACAGTACCAGAGATCTTTCTATATCCATTAAAGACAATAAACCATGACATTCTAAACTGAATATTATCCCTTTGTTCCGGTCTTATAATCAGGTTTGCCTCTTCCTGTCAAACCCTCCTTAGACACTTCCTGAGATACAAAAGGAATGTGACTGTTCTTTCGGTTAAACACACCTGAATTTTGAATAACAAAGGTGTTCTTATCTTTAGTGTTAAGAAACTACAACAGCTATCTCTCTGGATTTGTGCTAGATATAGACATCTCCTTCCTGTAAAGTTGTATTCCCTTTGTTTTCCTTTCTTTCTCTCTGTATTTCCTTTGGTTTCTCTCTCTCTCTCTCTCTCTCTCTCTCTCTCTCTCTCTCTCTCTCTCTCCCTTCCTTCCTTCCTCTTTTCTTAGTTCTGTTTTTTCCTTTCCTCCCAGTTAAATGCTTCTTCCAAGACTGGGATGTGTTAACATGGGGAACTCTTCCATTACCAAGAGTGAAGACACGGGTGTTCTTCTAAGAGCTTCAAACTGAGTATAAGTTTTTAAAAATCAATAATATGAGGTTTTAAAAATAAATAATTAATAAACCAAAGGCCAACTGCTGAGCATGTGGAGGGCTGGGGCTGGGGTTAAGTTTGATTCATGAGTATCAAATGCAGCAGATGTCATCTCAGTCTTAAAAAAAAAAACCACAGCAGTGAACTGTCTCAAGACTTGAATAAAATCATTTACTCAGCCTTTGGGCATGAGGAAAGTCAGAAAGCCCCAGGGTTCAAGCCTTCAGAGTAAGGAACTGACAGAAATGAACTAAATGTCAAAATGAAGCAAATTCCCTTTAGCAGAGTGATTAGAACAAAAAAAGCAAACCACTATGATTGTTCTTATGGGGCCAATTCTATTGTTTCCAGGCTAGGAAGACGGCTTACTGGGTGAAAGCACTTAGCAGGAGCATAGGAGGACCTCAGGGCTCCAGAACCCATGCAAGGCCCGGCATGGTACCCCATGTCTCTTATCACAGTCCTGGGAGGCAAGACGGGAGGCAGAGACTGGAGAATGCCTGGAATCTGGCTAAATTGGCCCTCACAGCAGCAAACAACAATGAGAGCCAGTCTGCAGAAAAATAAAACAGCCTAAAACTCAAAACACCTGCAGTCTCACTCCAAAGACTAAAGCATGAGGTCTACAACCAAGAGTCTTGTTCCCAGATCTAAGTGTGTCACTCACTGCCTTCCAAGACTACAATAAAGAGCCTTACTTGAGGGAGAAGCATGAAAGCTCAGCTGGTGTTGGGGAGATGGCTGCGCAGAGGTATCTGAGTGGTTTTCTTCTCAAATTCCCACACAATGAAAACCACTCGTTTACAAAAACTGCTGAGGTAGCTACGCGTGGAGACAACACATTTGACACCACATCTTGCCCCAACGTCGAAAGGTTGGACACCCCTCTAGCCTAAATGCAATAACTCAGTGTTCCAGATTTGATTTGACCAATCATTTCTCCCCTTGTTCGGGTGACTTGGAGCCTTCAGGGCTGGCTCACCCACTCCCCAGCCCCAAAGGATGCCATTCACTTTCTCATCTCCGATCCCTCTATTAATAGGACTGAGTCACTTCCTTCCTCCTGTTTCTCGGTGTGACCACGCTGTTTGCCAGGACTGAGAGCTAGCTAGATTAATTCCACCTCCCTGCTACCCCCACACCTCCTTCCTGGCTTTATTCCCCAGCCCAGTCTACTTTATTTACTTCTATTTAAGAAGTGTAATCTCTTGTGGAAATTAACATCAACAGGTCTATATACTCATTTGTTCAGTTTTCCTTTGGTTTAAGTATTCTATAAATATGTGCCGTTTTTAATTTTCAAATATAAAAAGGGACCATAAAAGGGGGAACTAACCCTGATTGGAGACATAAGTAAATAATGGGCTCACTAGAAGGGGCTTAGTTGTTTTTTGTTTTGGTGTGTTTTTCTTACCTAAATGCTTTTATGCGTTAACAGCGACTATGGATGGTTTTCATGCACAAACAAGGCTGAAACTCATGAAAGTACAAAAAAGGAACAAAGGAAAATCAATGCACAAATATGTACGTGATCCCGCACTAGATACTGAAGATAAGCTGCAGGACATTTAAAGGGCAGTCACCCTCAACACCTGTTGTCATCGTCCTTTAATGACATTCCCCTCTAACCTCTTCGAACCCTCAGTCTGGGGAAGAGGCAGATTTCTTTCCTAATAGAATAAGCTCTTTTTAGTACATAAAGGATAAAAAAATAAAAAAAACACAACAATTACAGATGCTATATTTTGAAAGAACTTAAAAATCTTCCTAGCATGGGCAAAGAACTTTTGTCTTCAAATATAAACTTGGAGTTGGGTGTGGTGGTGCACGCCTGTAATTCCAACATTCCAGGAAGAGTCAGGCTGATCTCTCTAAATTCAAGACCAGCCAAGGCTGCATAGAGCAACCTTGTCTCAAAACAAAACAAAGCAAAAGCTAAACAAATAACAAAACAATAACAAAAAGCAGGTAAGATCCCCCACTCATTTCCATGCAGTCCAAAAAAAGGGAGTACATGGAGTCCGTCTCTTGGCCCCATGCTGTTTATAAAGAATAACAGTTCCTAAGAGGAAGGAAAACTTTTCTTGACAACCAAAAACTTTTCCACAGACTTAAAACGAAATCCCTACAAAGGTTTCCCAAAGGGCCCTGAGTGGCATGTGATGGAAAGATGGAGGAGGGGCCTTTCTCCTGCCTTTGAAGCCCGGGCCAATGGCAGGCATCGAACCCCAGCGGGAGCTCCATCCACAATGAGCAGCAGCTCCAGGGACCTGGGGTTTGCCAACAGACAGGAAAGCCCAGCTCTCCCGCTCCTAAGAAGATTATTGACTGGAAAGGATGGCATCTGGAAAACTGATGTGTCAAATAATCTTTCCCTGTGGATTAATACTTTCTGCCATAAAGACAAACACCGTTCTAATTACTAGATAAACTCTGAGGGATAAAGATTAACTGTGCTAGAGAGAGGAACACTCTCTCTCTCAGACTGCCACTCACTTCCAAGTCTAGCCCTACCTATCAGCCGGGGGACAGTCACTACCCCTGGTTTTCTCCTCTTAAGCACTGCTCTGCCCTTCAGTACTTTTCCTGCAAATGAAGCGAGGCCATGGGTCCCCTCCTCGGTGGTGGAGGCTTACCCTGCCCTCTCCCTTCCATCCTCTTCCTTGAACAGCTCATTCTCGTCTTTCTTACACTCATATCCCAAGATGAGTATGGAATCCACGTCACCCATGGGAATAATAGGTCTCCAAAGCCACCCTCATACGGGCCTCTCTAGAGCCACTGCTGCTACTGCAACCTATTACCAGACTCTTCTGGCACAAGCCAAAAAGGTCGTTCTTGAAATCACAACATACCTGGGAACCTGAACTTTAATACGTGCATGGACCCTGTGTCACGCAATTGGCCAAGTCATTTAACCCACCCAAGACTTGGCATCCATAGCCAAAGAGAAATGCAAAACAAACCAGCAAACCCTACAACACATTACTTTACAATTACAAGTAAAGCAGTCTGCCCTAAGCATCCCAGACTATCAAAGTCACTTAACAGGTTTCATGATTTCATGACCAGAGTCCCCAAGTTCACTTACTTAATGAGCATAGGAAAGGCAGGCAGCTCCTGCGTCAAGCTCAAGGCTGACAAAATTCACTCAAGCAGCCATAGACTATACACCTATCATGCACACTGGGCAGGTATAAAATGAAAAGCATTTTATACACTCAAACCTTGACTGGTAAGTAGCAGAACCATTATGCAGAGATAAAACCTTATCCGTAAAAAGAATCTACCAGCTTCTCACTGCCCAGCAAATGGTCTGGAGTTTTTGGAAGAATTGACCTGCTAGTTCTTGACCTACTACACTTAATTTTGTGGAAGGAAGTCACACAACAAAGACTTTTTGAAGTGGAGAAAGCCTGTGCAATACATGCTGGACGCATATAAAGACATAAAAACGGGAATGATTATGAGTGTCCTTGTCTTTTTCACCGCCCTATTCGTGTGGCCTTCTTTCTTTAATGTACCTGCGTTTCACATTACAGGTGGAACCCGAGCTCCCACCTCACAGGACTTTTGTCACCCTGCCTCTTTACCCAACCTAATAAAGGACACAAATAAAATTGTACCAGTGAGATGGGAATTTAAAGGCAAACTGGGGGTCAAAAGTCAATCGTAATTGTTATTTTGATTAAGTTCCTCTTTAACCACTTCACTGACCCCCTCTTATTTGGGGAAGCAGTAAGCCCCTCTTATTTAGGGAAGTAGATCTTGTAATCCCCATGACATTCTAAGCCAAGTTTAGAGTACAGATAAAGTTGATTCACCAGGCCAGTTCACCACCCTCTTACTACTATAACACATGTGTGTATTAAAGGCAATTACTGCCATGCGTGAAGGTGCACGCCATAATCCCAGCTCTTGGGAGGTAGAGTCAGGCAGATCTCAGTGAGTTCAAGGCCAGCCTGGTCTACATGGTGAGTTCTTGAATAACCAAGACTACATG